GGATTCTTTCAGCACCCAAACGCCGCTTTCTACCCGGAAAAGCTCACCGGAAGCACTTTTTCATCAAAACAAGATGGCAGTGCCCAGCAAACCGGCAGCCCAGTAGAAACTGTTCCACGGACCGGTACCGGTCCAGGGACCGGTGGTTGGGGACCCCTGCTATAAGGAATATAACCATCATAGTAGCTAGTGTAATTTGGTTTTAGTTTTTGCATTGACATAAATTTAAAAACTATGTATTACTTACCATTTTGGCTGCAGGATGAAGAACCTGCATCTGCTTCAGAATTGTTGCACCATCATTTGTGATTGTCACATCACCTTTACCATCTTGGATCTACAAAAGCACAATCAAGTTTTTGGACACCAACTCAAAAAAGAGAAAATCTACAAACAGAATACAAGTTGAAGCATCAATTTATATTACGCATTATAAAGTACAAACCATTGGTACAAACGTAGCAAATTACTATTTAGCCTAGGGTTAGAAATATTTTCAGTAATGTTCATGGGCACTGCTACATCCGAGGAAATTTCAAAAGCATGAAACCTCATGAAATTTCCTATCTTAGAATATTTTAGCTAAATTATTTTTAATAATTTCAATGTTAGATTCAACAGACACCAACGAATGGCACCAGACTGATAATGTAACCTTTGCTGTTTTCAGTACCCATTCTTTATTAAGGTTTCCGTATCTCATAGATTCCCAATTGTTTGCCTTGTTAATTTAGCTCTCTACAGTTGCCTCCCATACACCTTCTCATGCTTCTTACCATTCACTTGTTACATGGCAAAGTGTACAAGATGGATGTACTTGAGGTTGAATGAAAGTACATTCCTTTCATTTTATTTCATGTAAAAATCATCTGCCAAAGATTTATTGGCAGTTCTTTTTATAAATATGGTACATACCAAATAAAATTTCTATTCTTTGTTTCTCACGACACTCCCTTTAACTTTTTAAAGTGCATGTAGTTACATTAACTAGAATAGCTGCCCAATATCTATTTTACTACAATATTTTAAGCCAGGGGTTTCAAACTCACATCGTCATAGCGGCATCACGACATATTGGGACTTTTTCCCCGTTTGTTAAACCGGGTGAGGGCGTGGCCAGCTCGTAATGCATTCAGCCCCTGGGCCACGAGTTTGACAGCCCTGTTCTAAGCCCTTCCCTTTATTACTTCTGAAAACATATACAAATATTCAGCAACTTCATATCAGTTTTCAATGGGTCTACACATAACTCAATTACTATTAAGCCTCTGCAAAATATTTGAAAGTACGCTACTATGAGTGTACAGAAAATATTAATAAAAGTTGCAGAAAGTATTAATAAAACTGCATCTTCAGGAAAATTTGACATGGCTGAATCAAAGGGTGAGTGCATATGCAGAGTTGCTTATTTTTTGGTCCAGTAAAAATGCTGTCTATGAATGAATGGGAAGACAACTGGTGAAAGCTTTTGAAGTAGTTCATCAAGCCTTCCTGGAAACAGTTAATTTACTGATTCCAGAATGTTTTGTTTTTCCTAAAGCATTCTGCAAAATATCTTTCAAATGTTCTGCACAGCCTTATTATAAGCACAAATTACATACACACACAAAAAAACCTCCAAGCTCAAAACTCACCATTTTATCCATTCCCTTTGGCCCAAGACTTGTCCTGACAGCATCCGCAACCGCTAAAATAGATGAAAATAAATTTATATACCCAAAGAAATTTACTTCAAATGCAATTTCATTTATTGGATTTGTTATGGCTGCCACTTCAACTGACCACAATATGATATAACGTAATAAATTTGACACTAAACCCTTTAGGATGTTTAAAATGCTGGCTTCCACAAAAATACAATAAACTGATTTATATTATTAAGCCATGACGTTTATGGTTTGCTCAATAAATTCCACCTTCTTTAGTTCACATCACATGGACCAAAAATGAAAAATCACAATATGCATGCCAAATTTTCAAAGTATACTAACTCAAAAAATATTTCAAAGTGATTTTTATACTGATTCCATGTATCAGCTGTCATAGCTTATTCATGTAGCAAACTAAAGTGGAACAAATCCTGCTTTTGTATAATGTATGGACTCAATCACTGTATAGAAAGAAAACCAATACTACCCCAAAAATAGCAACAGTAATAGTAAAATAATGTTATTTTATAATGCTGTCTTATATTAATTATATTTTAATATGTTGGATAGTGTGAGAGGACCATTTCAATTCAATTTAATTATATATTTTATTACTTAAAAACAAATGTTATTTGACAATAACATGCAACTCACATTCAATATGAACACTAAAAAACTAAAATCTGATTAAAGGATCATTCTCCCCATATGAATTTGCTTTTGATCCTCAGTTTTAGTTTTACTTGCATCTGACATCACCCGGAGGAGGATCCATGAATCTAACAAGCCACAGGCCACCCATCACCTTTCTGGAAAAACACTCAGGTTTGTTCCAAGCCTTTTCCACTTAATGCCCTCAATCTTAACCTTTAATCAAAGTGACAACATTATGGTTTACTGCGCTATGCAATCCAAGAAATATTTTCTTGTACAAACGTTTGTCTTTTGTTTCAAATCACATTGGAAACATTCAGGACAATGACACCCATTACACTTTCTAAAAGTGGAAAAGAATAGGAAGGGATGATAGCAATCTTCGTGGCCACAGGCTGCAGTGTCATTCGAAATCGCTCAACAGTCTGAATATTGTATTCTCTTCTACTGGCGCGGAATACAATTGGAAGCATTAACTACCACGAAACGAATGCAATGCATCTTCCCTTTCATCAAAAAAAAAAACAAAAAACAGGGTTATAAACAGCAAATCATAAATTATTGCTGCTCGCCCCTCTTTATCTTCAACGAGACTCCGGAAGAGCCTCAGTTCATTCCAACAGAAGAAGCGGAGGGCCGAGGGTGTGGTCTGGGTGCTTTAGGGCTGGGAGCCCCTGCCCGAGCCCGCCAGATGTCAACAGACCAGTCCATTCACCCTCTCCCCGCCACCCCCTTCCTATAAAGGCCGTGGGATCTCCCATCACCTTTGCCCGCAGAAATGTTGCTGAAGCGGATCTGAGCGGGCTTATCTTTATCCTGGTAAGAACCGCGATTGCCGCCGTGGTTGCGGTTCCCTGTGGCCGCATTCAGAAAGGCCCCCTTTGTGCTTGCGTTCTCCGGCATGTCTGCGCCCGGATGGCCGCTCAGTCTTCCGATGGAGATGGATTCTTTTCCCCCAGTCCCGGAACCTGAACCACCAACGCCGATCCGAAGCTTCCAGAAAGCGCGCGGCAGCAGTTGGAGAAGAAAGGGCCTTTCATCGGTCCCTCAGGCCGGCGCTGAGAATGACGTTTCGTAGAGGGCTGTCTTTGTAAAGTGCCTGAGTTCCAATAAAACACAGGAAAGCGTTTTTTCAGGTCTTTCCTCTGAGAAAGGAAAGAACGAATTTGGCTTGTGTGCATAAATGTCTTCCAGAAGCTGAAGTCAACTATTTTATATAGGGCAATAATACCAAACAGCGAATAAGATAGACGTCAAAAGCCACAGGCTGCAGTGTCATTCTAAATCGCTGAATGCTGAATTCTCTTCTATTGGCGCGGAATACAATTGGAAGCATTAAATTTAACTACCACGAAATGGAAGAAGAGTTTTGCTACAAGAAAGGAGAATATTCATAGACGGTAATGGAAGCTAAATTATTGAATTTATAATTAATAAAATAATTAAAGAAAATCAAATGTTGTAAATTGCAAAGCACAAAATAGAGAGAAAAATCCACATATTTATTCTACAATTTTGTTTTCTTTCTCTTGAAAATAATCCGATATAAAATGAATGGGATTTCAGAGTAAATCTGCATAAAAATACAGACTAGTAGAGATAAATGAGATTTAAGAACCAAGTTTTAAAAAATCAGCTTAACTTTTCAAATGGGAAGAATACTTTCAAAAGCAACAAATGTTACATAACTACCGCAAGCAAATCATTAATATTGGGAGGTTTCTTTATGCCACAAATTCTTAAGTGTAAAACATCTTTGTTTTACTTATCAAATGTATATTTTATTTTATTGCAGTGGTCTGAAAGAATTGTTTCAGAATTGTTGCAACTAAATGTATCATTTTAATATTACAAAATTATAATACTAGAAGAAGTATATAGATCCGTTTGATGATTCTTTTCATCCCAGCTTCATATGTGAGGAATTTTTTTTAAACTATTTTATTACAAAGCAAAGATAAAGTGAGAGAGAATTCTGTTCAGGAGCATTTTCAAACAATTATAAACTGACTAACGAGGGATTGAAAGTAAATTGCTCTTCACAAAATCTTCCACAATTTTAGTAGAATATTATACTGTAAAATACTATACTATATACACTATACGCTGCTACACCAAGGGTCTTCAAACTTGACAGCTTTAAGACTTGTGGACATCAACTCCCAGAATTCCTCCTCCAGTCATGTTAGCACAGGAATTCCGGGAGTTAACATTCACAAGTCTTAAACTTGCCAAGTTTGAAGACCCTTGTGCTACACTACTTTTATTTGACCAAGTGTGATTAGAGACACAATGGAATGGAATAGAATAGAGAATAGAATATATGGAATAGAATAGAGAATAGCATAGCACAGAAGCTGGAAGGGACCTTGGAGGTGTTCTAGTATCTATTCCAGCCCTCTGCTCAGACAAGTGACTGTCCAGTCTCTTCTTAAAAACTCCAGTGAGGAAGCGCCCATGATTTCTAAAAGCAAGCTATTCCACTGGTTAATTGTCCTTAGTTAGAAAGAATTATTGGAGAATAATTAGACATCCTCTTTTTTGTGGCAGCCCCTCAAATCCTGAAATATTGCTATCATGTCACCCCTAATTCTTTTCTTTAGACAAGCTAGACCCAAAACCTGCAACCGGTCTTCATATGGTTTAGTCTCCAGGCCTTTTAGTTGCTCTTCTCTGAACTTTTCCCAAAGAAAAGTTTGTCTCCGATGCAGAATCACTCAGTGTATATGCAAGGCAACAGAATAATCATAATGCCAATAAAATGGATGTAGTAAAGAAAGTAAGAATAATACATTTATACAACATATACTTATGTTCTCATGGAAAAATGCTAGAGACACTGGACCAGAGGTGGTATTCAGAAGGTTCTGACCAGTTCTGGAGAACCGGTAGTGGAAATTTTGAGTTGTTCAGAGAACCAGCAAATCCCACCTCTGACTGGAGATTTTACAGTATCCTTCCTCTGCCTCGCCCTCCAAGCCATGCCCACAGAACCAGTAGTAAAAAAAATTTGAATCCCACCACTGAACTAGATTGTACAATATTTATATGTGCAAGGTATAATAAGTCCCTCTAGGAGGAGATAAGCACCTGTATAAATTTGATTAATAAGTAACGTCACGCAAACATGTAAAAAAAACCTCGCAGGCTTGTAGGTCAGAAAAACATGCTATAGAACTCGTATGCCATGCATACAAGGAACTCGGCTTTTAATTCCCGTCACCAAAAGGGGGCGCAGCTATCCCCAGGAAAGAGCGGTCGCCTTCCAAAGAAGAGTTTTTGTCCCCGCCCGGCTCCCATCATCCAAGTCATTTCAGGTCCAGTTGAGCCTCTTCAAACAAGATGGCGGCTTCCGCGGAGCATCCCTTGCCTGAGCCTGCCAAGCCCTTACTCGGGCTTCTAAATGGTATCGCTCAGGCCACCTTTTATGGCAACACAGAGATCACGGAGGAGCTGCTGCGGGAGCAGCTTTACCCGGAAACGGCGTCGCAGGAATTTGGGGTTCTGCTGGCTAAAATGAAAGGAATCGTCAAGGTAACGGAGGCGGGGCTGCTAGGTTGGTTGGGGTGGAGCAGAGCGGTGCAAACGGGGGCGGGGGGGGGACGGGAGCGGGGCTGCGGTGGTCGCAGAGAGGCCGGTTGGGCATCTGGGTACGAAATAACACAATAAAAATCTTTGCCATGCCCGCGCTTTTCAAAAGCACGCGAATTAAGCACACTTTCCTTGCATGTCGAAGTGGGGGCAAGAGATAGGACCAGCTGGCTAAAAGAGGTACCCGATGCTCACGGCAACTCAGATGCGGATGAGAGGCAGGATCGGGGTAGATTTATTTTCCCAAATCCAGTATCACTTAGACCACTTATATAAAGCAGTTCTGGTCAGATACCCTGGTAGCAATGCTTCTAGAGAGCGCAAGTTTAGGGGGTGCCTGCCCTGAAGAAAAGAATGTCTTTTGGGGGTTTATTTCTCCTCTTCTGGAAAGGGCAGCAAGGAGGAAATCCCTGAACTTCAATCCCTTGTTCTCTTCCAAATGCAGCCAGAGGAGTAGCTTTTCCTCCTCAGAGCAGCCGCTGCCTCTTCTCACTTATCTGTGCTTATCTACAGCTTGCTCACTTGTCAAGGCCAGGCCTCCTGCTGCCATAATTCAGAGAGACCCTGCAGGCTTTTTCCTTACTGGAGTTGACTCAGATCTGATCAGGGCTCTTAACACTCTTGCTCAAGGCGTGACCTGACTGGAGGAAATGCCATTTGCTCCATTTCACTCTCTTCTCCCCAAGGGTGCTGTGTGTGGAAGTCATTTCTCCTTGCCACATTGTTCTTAGAGGAATGGCAGTTCTTTCCATGCATTGATCTCCAGTGTTGGCACTGACAGATCTCAATTGCCAGAATTTCCTACGTTTGTTCCTTGGGTCGGTGCAATCTTGGATTTTAAAGCTTGTAACATCTTTTTCTAACTTGAAGCTAGAATTTGAAATGCATGCAGCTTTTCTTAGAATTTGAAATATAATTTCTACATCTAACTTTCAATATTTTTTGCTTCAAGAATGTCCAGCGATACTTTGAGAATGCCCAAAGGGAATTTCTGGTGAGAATTCAGTTTTGAATGAAGGTTCTTTTAGCCCTGAATAAAGTATTTTTCCAATTTTAGTGAGCTATTTTCATCTGTTTAAAATAATGTTGAGAAAAGGCTTTTTGAAAAAAATTAAATACACATTTGGAGAGAGTTATAGGGCTTTCCCTGAGTATATTGTATGTAAAAAGTTTGTATCTTTTTTCTGCCATCAATAGAAGGACTGCTACAAAACCACTGGTAGTCCTACACTTACAACCACAATTGAGAATGGAACTTCTGTTGCTAAATGATGTGGTAGTTAAATGAGCCTTGCCATGATTTTATGACTTTTGCTGTGGTTGTTAATTGAATATGGTTTCCCCCAATGACTTTGCCTGTTGGAAGCCTCTTGGGAAGGTTTACAAAAGGCAATTATGCTATAAATGTTGCATTGATATTTATGGTATGACATGATAGTTTAAGGTATAAATGTTATTTTATTCATTTTGATTAAACGTATTATTGAAACCCAGCCAGTGTAACTTTTAAACTAAGACATATTGTTAAATACATTGTATGAATTGAGCCAACTATTTGTAAGAAAGCATGAATCTAGCCAGTATTTATCTCCCAAGCCTGATTTGAAACCAAACACCTTCCAGGGATTTTATTACCCTTTGCATAATTGCAAAGAAAGCATAGATAATTTAATAAAATTATTTTGATATTTTATAGAAAATATCAACAGAAATTCAAATAAAGAACTATCTTATAGAATAGAATAGAATAGAATAGAATAGAATAGAATAGAATAGGATAGAATTCTTTATTGGCCAAGTGTGATTGGACACAGGAATTTGTCTTTGGTGCATATGCTCTCAGTGTACAAAAAGAAAACATAAAATACATTCATCAAGAACCATAAGATGTAACACTTAGTGATAGTCATAGGTTACTGATAAGCAATCAAATCATAGTAGGAAACAAAACTATAAATTGTAAAGATACAAGCAACACAATTATTGTCATAAGTGGGAAGAGATAGGTACTAGGAAGGATGAGACGAATAATAGTAATACAGTCTTAGTAAATAATTTGATAGTATTGTGGGAATTAGTTGTTTAGCAGAGTGACGGCATTTGGGAAAAACTGTCCTTATGTCTAGTTGTTCTGGTGTGCAGTGCCCTATAGCATCGTTTTGAGGGTAGAAGCTGAAACAATTTATGTCCGGATGTGAGGGGTCTGTAGATATTTTTCACAGCCCTCTTTTTGACTCGTGAAGTATACAGGTCCTCGATGGAAGGCAGGTTGGTAGCAATTGTTTTTTCTGCAGTTATAATTATCCATTGAAGTCTGTGTCTGCTTTGTTTGGTTGCAGAGCCAAACCAGTTAGTTACAGAGGTGCAGATGACAGATGATTAGAATGTCCCACAGCTGCTCGTGGTAAAGACCAAAAAGCATCTTTTAATGTTGTATAGCAATGGTCTAAAATATTCTTGCCTTCAGTGAGACAATTGACATGCTGAAAATATTTTTGGTAGCTCTTTCCTTAAGTTTGCTTTCTTAAAATCTCCTAAAATAATTTGAAATGAATCTGGGTATCAAACTTCAACCCATATAATCTGATCAGATAGAGTTCGTAATGCATTGTTTACACAAGCTTGTGGAGAAACATACACAGCAATTAGGAGAAATGAGAATTCTCATGGAGAATAGAATGGTTTGCAATTGATAATTAATGTCTCTAAGTCCACATCACAGAATTTCTTTAATATAGCTATATCTCTGGACCAACGCCTGTTACTATATAAATATAAGCCTCCTCCCTTCTTTTTACCAAATGTTTCTACAGTTGTGCCTGCTCTTTGTATCTGAAATCCTGGGATATGCAGGCTACTATCATCAATTGACTCATTTAGCCAGGTTTCAGTGAAGCAGAGAGCTGCTAAGTTGTAAAAATCAGAATTGCATCTATTTAAAAGAAGTATTTCATCCATCCTATTAGTGAGTGAATGTAAATTAGTCAGAAAGAGTGAAGAGAGAGAGGCCGCTTACCCCTTCTTTGCCTCCAGCTTCTCCATTTGTTTTTGTTTATCCATTGTTCAGAGGACGTTGCTTCTTCCTGTGTTAGAAACTCTTCTGCATTTGTAAAGATGTGGGAGGGGGTGAAGTCACAGAAAAGTGCCATCAAAAAACATTCCCTGATGCTTAGTAGTTGGTCTCTTGAGTATGAAATCCATAGAAAATCACAGAGAACGATAAAAAACGGAAAAACTGTCAGAGAACATTTCATCAAGGCTGCCATCAGCGGTGCCATCTTTGATGTCACCACCAACGGTAGTTCTGTTTTTCATTTCTTAAAAATTGCTTTTAATTTAATTTTAATTTTATTTATATGTGTATAGATAGCATATGTATATGTATGTACAATGTATATTTTCAGACCACTTCTGTCTGAAAAGTTTATATAACATAAAACCCTACATACATATTGTCCTGGTTTCATTCTTAGACATATGGCATTTAGTTTTAACTTGCAGTAGCAAATTAACAATAATACAATCGGCATACAAAACTAAGAAAAAGTAACACTTTTAGTGAAAGGGAACATAATTTGAGATAATAAAATATTCGATTCATTCTTGTTTAAAGATTACATGCTAGAACCTTTATTCAGATCTTTTTGCTTGAACAAAAGGGACATGAAAATTAAAAGCAAAATATAATAATTCACAACACTTAAATATTTTGTTTCTGAACATTGCAGTTCTTATGTAAATAGAAATATAGATCAATTTCTAACTATTGTGGTGCCAAAATGATTAAATGTACATTGTGATGTCATAATGTGAGCTCCACTGTTTCATATTTGCATTACAATGTTGTAACATAAATACTACCTATACAAACGTAATTGCATGCAACCTGGTTGCTTATATGTAAATAAAGATAATGCCTGTCACCTTGAATTTGGAGCAAACCAGCTGATGGTGTTTGTGCCTTCCCATAGTGGGTGACGCTGTGCCTCTGAACATTGGATTGCCCTTTATTCTCCTTTGGGTAAACAGAAATAAGATTATCCATGGAAATAATAGTCTTCCTTTCCTACTTGATTTCTGGCTGTTTCATTGAATAAGTCAGTTTACTGACAAAATCATATTTAGGTAATGAGGATCTTATTCTAAATTTCAAAACAATATTTCATAAATAAAAGACATATAAATTTATACTGAATTTGAACACTTGCATGGTGTGATTCAGTGCAAGTACTGTAGATCAGGGCTGTCAAACTTGTAGCCTGCAGGCCAGATATGTCACACCTTGGCCACGGCCGGTTTAGCAAAGGGGGGGAATCCCTATATGTCACGTGATGACATGAGTTTGACACCCCTGTTGTTTTTAACTTAAATAATTAGTATTTGGGTTATTTCACTTTCCTCGGCTAGATGGCAATGTAATATACAATATCAGCTTTGGTGCAAAAATTGCTGCATGTTTGTTTTCTTTCCAGTTCTCCTTTTCAAATCTGGTATGATTTACACTGTGATTTAGCATATGACCTCTCTGCTAATAGCTATAACACATTAAATTATACAACAACCTTCCTTAAAATGCAAGAAATATTTTACACAAGGTGTATTGCCAGATTTTTATCTTGCACTTTAATCTTTTCAGTTGCAAGACTGGTTTCAATAAATGAAACACAGTTGTTAAAGGCTTGCTATTTGCACAATACCAAAAGCATGGGATTAAGAAAGGCCTTTGTTTCTGCAATATATCGAAATATAATTAATGAAGGATCCAAATAATTGCAGTTAAGCAGTGTTTGTGAGGCAAATAGAGTATAAAGTAAATAATCTATTATGTGGGCAAGATAGAAAATGTGAAGTTAGACAATTTTGTAGACATTTTATGTTGTATGTAATGAGAATTTTCTGAAAAAGTTTTAAGTCAGATCTTAGAGTACAATATTTAAGTTTGC